CTCGCCTCACCCGCAGGCAGGTGTAGCGCACCCGCAGGGCGCGGACTCGTCCGCGGGCCTCCGCGGCCTTGAGGACGCCGAGCAGCCGGTCTTGGCGCACCGCCGGCGGCTCGAGGGCCTGCGTCCAGGCCCGCGGGTCCGGCATACCGTACCCCAGCTCCGTTGACTCGCGTGGGAAGATGGAGGCGGCCGCACCCACGTCTTCCAGCAAGTCGCCGAAGAGCAGGTGGCGGTGGCCCTGCTTGGGGCTCATCGCCTCCAGCCCCTCCAGCGTTAGAGCCCAGCCTGGCTTGGGGGGCTCGCTCGCGGGTGCCCCCTCGGTGTACGTCTCACAGGACCCTGCGCGCTGCNCCCGCCACCCGCGGTCGGGCCTCGCCCCTCCAGCGTCCCCGCAGCGCCCGGGTCCCGCCCTCCAGCCTCTGCACCTCCGCTCCGCCCGCTCAGTCCCGCTGGAACACTCCGGTCCTCTCGGAGCTCCTGGACACTCCCCTCCTGCCCACGGGCTGTTTCCCTGCCCTCTGAGAAAATGCTGAGACCCCTGAATTGACCTCAGGCCCGACCCAGGGGTGGAGACCAGGTGAAAGCGCTCTAGGAGGCTCGCTGTGCTCCAGGTCCCTAAATCTGCACCCCCCGGGGAGGCTCAGAGCCAAATGGACAGCTGGCTTGCTTCAGGGGAGACCCACCCTCCTAGTCAGTCCCCAGCTGGGTCTAGAGGGAGGCGAGGATAGAGGGGGGAGGGCCCACGACGGGGAAACGGGAAACACCCCGAGGGCCCGGGTTCAGCTCTGCGGGGCTCCTCCCTTCTCGGGGTCCAGGCCCCAGACCCGGGCCACGTCCTGGTCCCACCCTGCCACCCCTTCCCAAGCCCCTCCCACACCCTTCCCACACCCCATACTTTTTGCCTTCTGGAGTCTGAGCCTCCAACAAAGCCCCGGCTCTCTGGGGCCTGTTGACTCAGTTGCGGGGCAACCGGGAGCCCCGCCCCTTACCAACCCGGCGGGGGCGGGGCAGCCCCTGGCGAGGGGCGTGGGCAAAGCCCGGGTCTCGGCGCGCCCCCGGCGTCGCTATCCGGGACGAGACGCCGTAGCCTCCCCAGCAGATCGTAGACTGTGGAGGTGGCAACTGCCAGCTTTTCCAGCCCCGGTGCGTTTTCCTTCCTTTCTGGGGAGCCCCAAACACACTGTCCTGGGGCCTGTGGGCCCAGCTTCCCCTCTGGAAAGGTTTTTGGCGGCTAGTGTTGAGGGCAGGGGGCGCAGCTATGCAACCTTCCCGATGAGGCCCTTTCCCTTTGCATAGCCCGCCCTCTACAGCCGCTGGTGTTCACAGAGGGGAAATGGGGAAAACGCAAGACCACTCGCTTCTTCCAGGGCAAGGTTGGGGTCCCAGGGGTCCCGCAAGATGAGACCCGATTTTGTTGAACCCTAAACCTCTGGGTCCTGGATTTCTGTAATCTGTGTGTTTGCTAATTTCATATTATTCTATGATCAGTTCACTTCTCAGTTTATTCTATAATTTATTCATGCACTCATCAGTTTATTCTGGAATTCATTAATTCATATGCTCATCCCACCCTTTACATTGAGCCCAAATTAGTGCTTTCATTCATAATTTGTTCAAGTATCAGTGGTTTTCACAGTGCCTGCACCACGCTCCCCTTCACTCATGGATGTGTCCTGAGGGCAGTGGGTGCTGGGGCCCATGATTGTGCCTTTTGTGAATTCAGGACCTGATGCCATGAGTGTTCAGGCTTTGGAGCGGGTCTCAGCTGAAGTTCAGGCCTCTCTGCTGGAGTATGTTGGCTGTTCCCATTGTTTCTGCAAGCTTGCTCTGGCCTCCTGGTGAGAGGGTAAACTATGAGTCTCTGCCTCTAGATTCCTGAGCCTGCACCCCACCCCCAGGCTCCACAGAAGGACTGTCCATCCT